AAACATCAGACAGGTACAGAGGGATTTGATGAAGTTCATCCACGAAGGGACGATTCTAATTGGCCACGCATTGGACAATGACTTGCGGGCCTTGAAGCTAGTTCATCAAAACATTGTTGACACTGCTCATGTATTTCCTCACAAAAATGGTCTTCCATATCGAAGGTCGCTGAAGGATTTGGTATCGACCATTTTGAATCGTAATATACAGATAGGAGCAATAGGTCACGACAGTTATGAGGATGCTGTCGCTTGCTTGCAGCTAATGTTCTGGAAAGTGAAAGCGGACTTTCACATTTAGTCATCCCTTCTTCACCCTTTTGTTAATAAATAACTGCTGAATAATTTAATTCAGCATATTGTTGTTGGTTGAATTATGTTGTTTATACTATTCGTGATATTATAACAAATATATTTTGGAACCATATCTCAGTCTGGATAGTTCCATTGGAAATAATGCCACTTGCAAAGATTTCGAGAGTTGTGAGCACTTGAGTGGAAAACAATGAGTTTGTTTTTTTGCAAGAAGAGAAGAAGTTTCCTCGGAATAAAGTCATACTTCTCGGAACTGTAGGACCAATATTTATAATTTTCGAAGAGAGTTGAAGATACGTTGGACTTTTAATGAATAAATATTGTTTCGTCTTATTGAAAATCAAAATTCGGAATTGAAAAGATTCAGGCACCTACTAGGTGTTCGTTTTATTTGTGTTGAAACATATGAAATTTGAATCGCACCACTGTTTAACCCTATAGATAATAATAATAGGGATCCAGAGTTATGATGGCTCTGAGATTATCTTCATTTGTCCCACGCCAAAGGATCGTGGTGTCATCCGCAAAAAGTGTGAACTTCCCTTTAATGTTAATGATTACCAGATCATTCAGATGAAGCAGAAAAAAGATAGGACCCAGAACCGATCCTTGTGTTACACCTGATGTATCATTCTCAATATGCGATTTATTTCCTTGGAGTCTTACTAATTGCTTCCTGCTTGTTAGATAAATGTAAAGCTAGTTATATGACAATCCTCTAAAACTATAGCACTGAAGTGTAAATAATAGTGTTTCATGGTTCACGCCAGTCGAACGTATTCATCATTTTCATTGATTTGTGTCACGGTGGATTTTCTTGATGAAACAGCACTTTCTTTTTCTTCAAATATAGGGCCGCTTTCCGCGATTTCGTCTTCAAACGCTCGAATATCGCTGTGGAATAATCACTGTCGATAAATATCAGACCATGCGCATACTAAAATACTGATGCCATAATCTTGTTCACCACGTGCAGATCACTCAGATGACGATCGTTTTCATTCTGGTTTCAAATAGTAAAACCATGTCACATATCGACGCCTAAATTCGAGTTTTTTGTGGTGGAACAGCTTCAAACACATCAATTCCATGTTGTTTTTGGTTGATTGTGATCCCGTGCTTCATCCACTTTAAAGAGAGCTCTCACATACTCGAATATTCATGCACGATATGTGCAACACTGTCCTTTGATATCTTGAAAGACTCAACTATCTTGATCAACTTCACTTTGAGGTCGTATTACGTTATTTTGTGGACTTTAATTATGTTTTCGTCGGTAGCATTCACTGCTTGCATCGTCTTCAGTGCACATTTCACCTCGTTTAAACTTAGCAAACACTTCTCGACGGTTGATTTTCCTGGCGCAAAGTCATCAAGCCAAGCCTTGGCTTCAACAGTATTTTTTTTTGCCAAAAGTAAGGGAGTGTCTAGGATGTACGAAATAAGCTGTGAGTATTGCGATGAAAAGTGTATTTCATAGATCAGAGAATTATAGTGTCACTCAACATGCCTTACAGAAAGGCAACAAAATAAATGAAAATGAAAATTGTTCTGACTTGTTGAGACCGGTACAAGACAACAGATTTCCAGATGTATTCGAAAATTTAGAAGCGACATAGAAGTCGCTATAAACAGNAAACTCAATTATTTAGAATCCTTGGAAATTCAGAAGCATAAAAATTGTTATGAGGATGCTGTCGCTTGCTTGCAGCTAATGTTCTGGAAAGTGAAAGCGGACTTTCACATTTAGTCATCCCTTCTTCACCTTTTTGTTAATAAATAACAATTCAGCATATTGTTGCTGTTTTAATTATCTGTTTAAACTATTCGTGACATAAAAAATATATTCTGGAATCGTATCTCAGTTTATATAGTTCTATTTGAAATAATTCCGCTTGGAAAGATTGCCTGGGTTTGGTTTTTTGCAAATATCTCTAAAACAACTTAGTTAGTTGTTGGTTTTTCCGTTGTGTATGCCATAAGTCATACACAAATCCAACAGTATATAAATCAAACTTTGCAACACACGCCATACAAAACAAACAATTTCTCCCCACCAGAGAACATAAAACTAATAGAACAAATCAACAAAGGAAACCGGATGGACATTTGGGAAAACTTGAACATCCATAAATTCAACAGTCATAAATCAAAACACAACAAGATATCACATTCAATATAT